ATTGGCTATCAACAATAGTCAGTAGTTGAGATATCGTCATTACTAACGTGCCGCTGGCACGCCACCTGAGACATAAGTAATTCCTAACAAGATAAGTTTAAATATGTACGACTACGAGTATGTTTAGACCACACTAATAAATTATTTTCGTTGCTTTATACGTATTAAGCGAAGAGTACAATAATCAGCAATATAGTAATTTAAACTAGTTGTGGCTCAGTGTCTATAGTGGTAATTCTTCAAAATATAATACGAGACTAAAACTATTTACAGAAATGTCGATCCTTTTCCTGTTGTAAGCAATGTCTTGCTCTCTTCCAAAGAACAGTTTCATCTTAGTAAAGTCGAGTTGGCCCATCTGTGCCCACAAATGGTAAATAGTTAAACCAATAACATTTCTAACCTTCCAAGTTACCATTTATCCCATCATCAAGTAAACTGCAAAGCAGAAGCGAATTGTGGGAAATATAAAAGCTATAAAGTTTTATACTGGTAATTGGAAGTAACGTTGATAAAACAGCTGATTGCGTCATATGTGCATGGATACATTGTTATCAAACAAGGGGGCGTTTGACCATGTGGTACGAGCGATAAGAGGACGCAACTGACAGTCTAGTGTGGGGTTTATACTATCTGATTACACTGCATACTGTTAGTCTGGTGTCTACTGTCTACTGTATTGGTAGTATTTTGAAGATGATCGCCAGCCACTTCTCATGGCCTTAAGGTACGTAATCCAATTGAAAGTTTGGTGCAATTATATTTGATTTTTTGGTGGTACAGACTTGTTTAACAGATGTTTTCCAGTTAAGGTTGTTTGCAAATGGAAACCGGAATATACAATCTACCTGTTTATGTTTAGATGAAACATTTTTTTATGCTATGCAATTAATTACACCACAAATCACTGTTAGTGATACATTCGAGCATTGGTTTTTGACATCATGAAGTGAAGATTTAATAATGAGTATAAACGTTTTAAACATATTTTCTAACGAGACCATTAAATTGTTTTCAGCATAATACGAGTAGCCCGAGTTCAAATATTTTGCTTATGGACGATGCTGGGGTTGGTGCTTTACTTCAACTTATATTCCGGTTTTATTCATTATCCAATTCTAATATATTTAACACTCAAGCAACTAAGACCTAATTAAATTAGGAAGATGATTTAGGCCCTATACCAGTTAATAAACACAACTGTATCATCCACATCAAAGTACTGTACATACAACTCTAATATAATTCAAAGTATTTGTTCAAAACACTAATATGTGGCCGCTGTATAGATTGGGTCTTCAATTAAACTCAGAACTCTGATTACGATTGAAAGGTCAAGCAAGACACTAAATAATCTGATGACTCATACCATTGACTTCTAAATTGATAAGTGTGCAAAAACTACTTTGGTTTTTGCAACGACTGCCAACCTAAATGTGGTGGCTAATTTTACTGGCATTCTATTACTGTATAACGACGATACATAGATTTGTTTTTATTGATCTCTTTGCCAAGGAGGTTTGCTTAGTTAATCGTATTACTCTATGGCTCACGTAATTGGAGTTCATTAATATGAGTAAGTTATAATTTACCTGATTGCCTTTTCGCCAAACAATTTTTGTATACTCCAAAAGGTCGTCTCTTTACAATGCAAGATTCTGTTTTCACAAAAAAGGTTCTAGTGTCTCGTGTCTTTTCTTCTGTAACACATATCTTTTCCAAAATTTAACATACCTAACTCTAGAAGACATTTATTTAAAATAAATATTTTACATTCACCTTATGTAATTCTCGTAGCACGCAAGTTTAAAATCAAGCCGTGCAATATCATAGACCAAAAAATTGTATACAGACCGCCAGCTACGGTTACCATAGGTTCTGGCGCACACCGCTGGGAGTGTCATCTAGTTACGGCGTACGCGATACATTACTACTCGGTGCTCCTAGTGGTGTGCGCCAGAAGCTATGGTAACCATTGTAACCCCAATATGGCTGACAGTCTATATTTAATTATTTTTGTCTATGGTAATACATAACAAAAGTTCATCTGATGGCTGAGATTGAAATAAAAAAAAAATATGATCACAATAAAAATAAACTCTATCGGTATTGTATAATCAGAGTTTTGTTTGAAAAAATATTAAATGTTTAACCAAGCCAAACTTAAACTATGGCATCATTTACGTAAAATAACCTATCGACTTATCAACCATGTAACGAAAACTTTCCACCAACAAACCCAATCCTTTAACCGCAAACACACCGAGAACAGCAAATCCAATGCAACTAACACAAGTTTCACGTACTATTCGGTCATCTGTCCACTGCCTCCACGATTAGCATGGTCTAGAAAGTTCCTAATGAGGGAAATATTACGCAACGCGTTATCCGAGTCACACAGAGTAATCAATCAATCAAGCCTGAAGTTTCGTTTGCGGTTGCTGCCTCTATGTGCAGCTCTGTGCAATCTACTACACTCCTGCATACGTAACTGACGATGACAGCTGACTTCCTGCAATGCATGCCGGGTAGGTAAACTGACCTAGTCATTCTAAATCAAGCAAACAATGGGTTTTAAAATTTTTTAAATTTAAAATTATTCTTTTTAGAACTAGTTTTTTGAGTGGCCGTAGAAATTACCACTGTGGCACTCACGTAGGAATTGAGTTGTAATTCCTGGACAGAATCGAGTGATATTGTACATTTCATTGAGGAATAAAAATGATTGGATTTATAAGTGTCATATTTAAATGATTACGAATTGTTCAAGCTAATTTTGCATTGTCCCGAGTCACCACCTAGACTAATTCCGCCGATTAGCATTTACAGCGTTAAAGTGGGTTTACGAATCACAGAATACCTTTTCTCGTTTTTTTCATATTGGTTTTACATACGAGACATAATCTAGCATGATACATTGTACGATGTAAACATTGCTCGGTTTGTCGTTAGATTTTTTCAAAATTAACCTGAAACTCAAAAGCTTGTAGGAAATAATAAATAAATTTAAGAAATTGGTTTAGGTAGAAACATTTGAGGAATATTAGACTAATTTAAAGTCTACAGTCGTTAGAGAACGGATAGTTAGTGTCTACAATCTCCAATATAGTTACTCAATGCTCATTGGTACCTTAGTTAGGTTCTAATAACAAAAAATTAAAACTAACTCTTTTCAGTTATGTCCTAACGAATGGAACTTTAGAAAAGCTTCATGCGTTGTTAGCGTAAGAAAATCCATTTCACGTAGTAGTTCCCAAATGCTTCATTTTTATCTCCTTATCTGTAGTTTTAAAGTCCAGTGATTTACAAAGTCAACTTGACCACACTCAGTGTTGTAGGTGTAGAATGTTAAGTCTCCATGGCTACGTTATGGTTACACACACAGACTGATCGATCAAGTTCAAGTTTGTAGTGATCCACTTAGCTGTCTGCGTCATAATGACGCGCTAATTTTAACTATTTCACCGCCAATATTCGACGAATTGTTTCCTGGGTTCACGTACACACTTAAGTTTAGTCTTTGTTTTGCTTCAAACCTTAAATAGGTTCAGTTGGTAGTACTGGTTCTATCAGTTAATAAAACATTGTCTGTACTATTTTCAGCTCGGCTAATAGGTTATAGCATAGATTAAGCATACAGTACTGTTATGGTCAGTTCACAATTAAGGCGGTTAGGCGAAGTTCCCAACTACTTTATTTTGCTTAATGTATGTTGCAGCTACAATCTCCTCTTGCAGCTACAACTTGTTGACAAATCTCAGCTGTTGAGCTATGTTTTTAGGATCAAGCAAGGCGTGGAGGGGATAAATTAATTCCCTAAAACCGCCTAAATTTTGTGAATGGAGTTTAGTAGCCTACTGTAAACCCTACACTAAACTTTATTTGCATCTTTGGAAAATTGTGGACGTTTTTAAAGGCAAAATTGAGTGAAAGACGAGTTTTGAATGGATTATAGATTATAGCTTTGTTACTAAGATTTAACAGCTACGTAGCTTAGTGTTCAATATGCTCGTCTATGATCAAAAGATCGCCGGTTCGATCCTGAGGACAGAGATTTTTTATGGTTCCAAACTTCCAAACTCATTGGGCTTTTGATAAATGATCCTGACTAATGAATCAGCTGATCAGTAACAGCTACGTGGATCGTCTCCCATTCTACACTAGCCTTGCGTAGTTGAAAACATGCACCCAAAATTATGTGGTTGTCTCAAAGATAATTGATTCGTCAACTGTTTTTGTTTAGGACCATTTATTGAATGCCCTAATGTCCCAGGGGAGCTGAGTCCAGTTCTATCACATAGGCTATAAAGACATAGTCTGTGGTATCCATAAAAATCCAGACTTTTCTTAGGACTTAACTGGCAATCATCTGATCAGTGTGCCAATTTGCAATATTTCATATTGAACTAAGAGAGCTGGACAATCTAAAGACTAGAGTTTTCGTCATGTAAGATAATTTGACACAACCCCTTACTGTTTTCAATGAGATGTCCAACGATCTTTTAGCACAATTAACTTTAAATTGTAACCAGTCTATAATTTCACTTTTCAATCGATACCACAGTATCCTTATTCTAATTATTACAACCAAAAAGCTGGGCAGGCTAGTAATTTAAAGTTAATTGTGCTAAAAGATCGTTGGACATCTCATTGAAAACAGTAAGGGGTTGTGTCAAATTATTTTACATGACGAAAACTCTAGTCTTTAGATTGTCCAGCTCTCTTAGTTCAATATGAAATATTGCAAATTAAATGGTTTTTATTTTATTATAGGATTGTTGAAAAGGGTGGTACAGACGCATGTAAGGGTAGGAGGTCCCTTATATCATAGATTAAACGTACTCCCTTGTTTAATCTATGCTTATATAATACCCGCCTCTTGTAAACATAAGAAAATTATGCTACACCCACCCTTATCTGCCAACACCTAGGTACAAGTTGCAATCCAAACAGTTTTTTTAAAACTTATTTTTGTAATAATTTGCTTTTTTCTGTTTCAGAGGCGCTAGGATGAGCTCAGCGTGTTTGGGGATTGATCATAACACATGAAGATCTTAAACATTTTCATTCATGCAGGTATGTTATGGCATATGCCATTATGGAAACGTTTAAGATAGGTTGGTAACATTAGGTAACATTGGACAGGATAGATTAGATACATCCTATTAGCAGTTTTTAAGATGCGATCGAAGAGCAGTACTTGTCAAAGCGCAATTTCTAAGTGGCGATCGACTACAAAATCTAACATAGCATTATCACCCAAACAAAAGATAATATTTCCATGCAATCTCTGATGGTTATCCTCTTTCGCTTGGTAAATATCAAACGAGAACTGATTAAAAGAGCGAATTTGTTCCTGTGGAGCAACACAGGACTCGATCAAGCGGTCCAAGGTCAGTGGAAAGATGCAAGTCATTACGATCCTTGGTCTTCTTGCCACCAATACAATAAAAACTCACAATCAAGTCAAGCTGTGTGCAAGCAAGAATTACTCTCCTTTTGTCCTTGGCCTTGGGCTCTCAATTAATAATTAATAACTAATTGATTGACAAATGCCCTGTAATTTTACGATGTAATGGCATTCTGTAAATGAATAAAATACGTAAATGAATATAATAACTCATTCAAACACCAGATTGTTGTTATATTGGAACAATACTATTTTTTACACAGTGCTTTACAACAAGCTTTGAATAATGTTATTGGCATTAGTGAACAAAATACCGGTACACTTTATTTTTTGGGAGGAATTAATGTTGGTGACTGAAAGATTAACGAGAGAAGTAGCTTAGTTCATTAAAAATTAATATTTTGTCTATGTATAATGAGTCATAAAATCAAAATACCGCCGCGCGACCCCACGCTATCCGTGGACAGGCTGAACTACTAGGTCAAAACTGGTTTCCTTCCAGAGATCTGCAGTAGAAACCGGTTTTGTTGAACCCCTCAATTTGAATTAGTTTGTTATTGTATTGATTTGGCCTTTGAGATTACCTGGCAGTTTTTTGCTGTAGCTCTGGTTAGCAATTTCCCGGCTCAAACTTTGATTATTGTGAAGGAACTAGGCTGGTTCCTTTTATTTTTAATAGTTTTACATTATGGTTCTTGTACCAAACCTAAGTTTTCTTTTAGCCTACTGTTACTCATATTTAAACATTGAGCATAGTTTTAGTCTGTTTGGTAAAACATTCTGATTGTAGTAGATTTTTTAATTCCATATTATTGTTTATAGTAGGCCTATGTATTTTAAAATTATTTCATTTAATGTGTTTAAGTGACTGATTTTAATTTATGTTTTAGAGGACAGTAGTTGAGAGAGAAAACATTTAGGCAAATCATAAATTTAAGCAATTTCTTATTTAATTTCATAAAAAGATATACGGTAGCAGGTATCTATACTATTATATAAAAATCTAATGGTGTCTGTCTGTATGTGTGTTACTGATAGGTGCAAAAACTAATGAACTGACTGGGCTTAAATTTTACAAAAATATAGCTACCATACCGAGGACTATTATAGGACTATTCACATTTCGATACTGACCGTAGGCTTTGCCCCTTTGGCTTTAACAGTTCTGAGGTGAACATTTTAAAAGTAAATATTGATTGGTCTCCATGGCTGCGGTGAGAACACTTAGACCCAAAAGTTTACTGCTTGCTTGCCCCTACAATACTTCTTTTCCAACCCGTGCAATGAACGGGTACGTAAGCTAGTAATTTATAAAATTAACTTTTATTATTCTGTTGTTTAAACAGCTTTCATGCAGCTACGGTTTCTAAGATCACGCCGGGCGGACAGCGTGAGTGGACAAGCGTGATTACGTAATCAAGTTAAAATTAAAGCCATGTTTTTATATGGGTGCGGTTTCCAAGTGCGAACGATCACGCCGGACATGAGTTTTCCCGCCATCTGTCCGGCGTGAGTCCTGAGCGTGGCACGCTGGAAATGACCCAAGTCATTTCTGGCATGCACGCCGAGCTGACAAGTGTAGGACTCTGTGAATTCTTGTGAAATGTAAAAATCACGCTTAGTTTCTTTCGGTGTGATTGTAATAAAAGTACAATTTATTTAATAACACTGTAACTATAAATCATCCTACATTGATTTTATTCTTTTCGTTGGTATTGCAATAGAATACAATTGCTTTGAACAAATGGTTTGTTTTTTTTATTTTAACCAAAACTAGTTTCATGGATCTCCTTGTTTCTAGAACCAGATGGTTGAGCTTTGTTTGGTAGTTATTTTACTTATTTTAAGTAAAGTTGTTTTAATAACTCTAAACTCTGATGTTATTTCAAACAGTTTTGATGTAGCTCCAACGGTCATCACGCTGAACAGATCACGCTGGCGTAATCTTGGAAACCCTAGCTTTACCATGGATCAGAGATTTTATACTCACGCTTATAAAATTTTACCAGTAATGATATCCATCCACAATTTTGTTCTTACACGTTATTACAATTTATTTTGATAACAAACCCTAAAAACATGCAAATTCAATTTAGGGATTATAATCCAAAAATATAAGCAATATACTTTAAAGATGATATTTTTTGTTTCAGTGGTCCTCTGGACCTTGGTCGAGTGTAGGAATGTTGGAAGATTCAAGAGATCGCTGGATGTCGAAGACAAGGGGAGTAACTTGACTCAGAAACAGAACTTGGGAGCAATCCACTCAGAAGGTCTCCAACATTTCACCTCCCCCCCTCCACCCACCCCTGGACATTCCACCCCTTCCCTGACCAAAGACCTGCCCTTCCTCCCAGAGGACATCAACATTCAAAGCCTGAAGAATGACGACCACCTTCGTGTATCATACAACAGGAAAATCTCTATTGCCAAGGAGAACTCTGATGCAGATTCTTCCCAGGAACAAAAGAAACTGCAGAAGAGTAATACAAACGATGAAATCTACTTCAAATTTAACAAGACAGGAGTGTCCTCGTCAACCGCATCAGAATTGGTCATCTCACATACGTCTTACGACCACAGTTCCTCATCTGTCGTTTACGACGAGGAGAACAGTGATGAGCAAACGGAAGCAATCAGCTCAACCTCAGAAACGTCCAAAGTAGATTCCGAACGGAAGAATTTGGAAATTAAAAAGAAGGAGAAAGGGAAAAAAGAGATTCTAGATTCTGTAACAGTTCCTACTGACTCCGTCGGGGCTGGGAAATTAGAAAAGCCCTTCAAAGACAGTTTACTTAATAGTAAATTAAAAGATAAAAAAGACTCCACTTCAGAAGCACTTGATGACAGAAGAAGTACAACAAGTAGAATAAGTAGTAGTAGTAATATTAGTTTAAGTGAACATGACAATAATAAACTCAGTAGTTTAGATTTGCTTAAGGTGAATCCGCCCAGTAACAATAAGGAGGCAGCCAACCAAAGTGTAAATTCTGTGATAAATGTTAACGGTGTAAATAACGACTTGTTGAAGAAGCCTAAAGTGAAAACACCTTTAAAGAAGGTACTAGATGATGGTAGCAGTGGTGAAGTCCACAATGCTGCTGCTAGTAGTACCCAGGTTGTAGAGGTAGCAGGAAAGAAGATGGCATCTACAACAAATCAAGACATCTTTTCAACCGCTACACCTGCAGCTTCTATTTTACCGAACTCTGAAATACCAACTGACCAGAAACTAAACCCAACAACTAGACGATTCCAACTAGAGGATTCCACTTCTTCAAAGGTAGATTTACTACCGAAAGTTACGAGTTCTTCGATGTCAACAGTGATAAAACCAAGTATTGCTTTTAAGCAGCAATTGGCAAACAAACTAAAAGGTTTTGAGCCAGTTCCTACCGCACCTATGGCTCCCATTGAAGAAACGGATGAAGTTCAAAGTAAAATTGGTGGAAAGTCTTCCAGCAAGTTCATTCTCAGGAAGAAACCAACACCTTTGAAGCTAGATCACGCTCCTCTTCTGGAAATTAACATTCCTCCAACTGCTACAGCCTGGACTTTGGCATCATTGAAGTCTTCAACAGAACCTTTGAGAAGCTCTCAGAAACCAGAGTCTGCTCCAGAGTTGCCACCATTAGTTGATGCAACTCCACAATCACAACTTACCACTTTAACTCCCGTATCGAGGGTGAGGAGTTTTGTCCCTTGGTCTACAAGACTACTCAGGAGCAGAAGTACCAAACCACCTGCCACTCTCCCTGTTGAGGGTAAGTTAAGCATCTAACACATTTTGTTATGCTAACCTTAATACTAGCACAGTTCAATTTTAAAAATCTGAAGTTTTTATCAGGGACCAAGTTTGTTCCCATATATAAATTTGTTTTAAGTAAAAATCTTATAAGTATAGTTTTAAAAGTAAATCTTACTTCTTATTCACAGCACCGTGATGAGCACCGTGGGTACGGGGTTAATCCCCTTTCTTACAATGGTTTCTGAGAGGGCATAGTTTGCAAGGACTTTCAGTATAGCATATTTGATTGCCCTCAATATTATAAAGATTGGTCTCAATATTTTTGTATAGGTTTTATGCAATAGTTTTCTATTTATTTTACTGAACTTAGGTGACCTTCTTGACCATTGAGCTTTGACTAAATGATGATCCTGACTAACAAAATAGCTTATCTTAGTCAGTAACAAAGCTACATAAGGCATGACACTCCACGTAACACTCATCCTTCACTCATATTTGGGTCAAACACATAAGTAGTGTCCCCATCTCATACAACAATGATGATAATAATTAATGATGATAATTATTATTGGTTTCAGCATTTTGTGCATGTACTACACATACTGTATAGATTTGCTGCCCAGTTAGTTATAGCTCTGTGTGGTCATTATCTCTCTGTGTGATGATTATTTAACAATGAATGTTACCCTAATGATTATTTTTTCAGTTGAGAAAGAAACCACTATGTCAAAACCAGACCCAACCACTTCATCACAAGTAAATTCAAGTAATGCCTCACCAAGCTTTGACACAAAAGCACAATCATCCACAGAAGAACAAAGTATCATCAGAACTACAACGGAACTAGACAGAAACCATTCAGAAACTTCTATTAATATTATTCAGGCAATTACTGATGATGTTATGATAAAGGACCAGTCTTCAGCAAGACCCCAACATGTTGTAAAAGCAGAAACTAAAGCACCAGTGATAGAAACATCCGAAACAGACAAAGAAACTCCAGCAGTTCAATCTGTAAACGACAATGAGAGCCAAGTGGTGGAAAATGTGATAGAATCCAAACAACTGCTTGAGGAAAACGAGTCTCAAAATAAGAAGGAGGAGAAAAACTTGGAAAAGCTAGAAGAAAGTGGACTACACAACACAAAAGTCTTAGAAAATGAAGCACATCAAGACATTGTAAATGAAAACGTGAACGAGGTAAAATCTAAAGAAAGTGATGGTAAAAAACAGGAAAATGTATTATTGACCTCTAAAAATAGTTCTGTAACAAATATTGACACCAAAGCAAAAAATGTCAGCGAACACTTAGATACAGCGGTTGAAATGGAAAACCCAGATGACAACAAATCCGGGGAGGATAGTGAAGAAGAAGAACACCAAAACCAAACTACAACTCTGCCTCCGATATTTGAACCGTTTGAAACAACCACGGTAATGGATCTCGACGAGGATGTGGATGAAAACGACAGAGATGAGGATGAATTTCCCTCACTTATGAATAAAACAGTCGTGCTGAAAACAGCTACGACAAATAAACCGAATGAAACAAACTCCTCTCCGAGTTCAAATACAGGGTCATCAGATTCAAATGGAACATATATTACAAGCATTGACATAATCTCCAAAGATAACAAAGTTCATACAGTTACAAGCAAGCCTTCTGAAGGTGACATCAACTGGTACAATGTGGAGACGAAGGTAAATAACGAGTCTGTGGAAGAAACTAGCGAGAAACCGAGTCCTGTCGAGGTGACTACTAATGTACCTGAGACTACGAACGAACCCGAGACGACAAAACTGACCGAGCTTCAGACCACTGAGCTACCTGACAACAGCTCCGACACAGGTGAGTTTTAAATTTCACTGTACAGAGTCAAACTTAAGTCGCAGGGACAGAAGATGGCAATCTGAAATCTGTGTAGGAGAAATATTTCTAGCATTTCAATGACAAAGTTGCTTATTCCAACTGAGCTTACATTTTTTTAATGGATTTTATGTTGCCATTGCCACTGTCCATGTTGGTGGGGGACAAAAGTTCATAGTGGAGAATAGAAAGAAGAGGTCATACACTACTGTAGGTCCAGTTCCTCAATTTTTGAAACTAAAGCACTAACTGTAAAAAATAAACATTAGTCTATCCACCTACTAGAATTATAATTAGTACATTTCTAAATTAGTTACCTTGTCAAGTAATGTTTTTAAGATGAAACATACTTAGATTTTTTCCAATCTTCAGTTCATTTTACAATTCTAGTCTGAACAGTTCTTGATTCACATCAGTGCTTGTCTTAAAATCTGGAGGCCGCTGGTTCGATTTAAGTGTGATCATTTCCAGACCCAGATACCATTAGTCATTGGGCTATGAATTAATGTTGCTATCTAACAAAAACGTTGATTGTGAAAAGATCAGGGTTTGGATTGTTCTCTGTCAAAACGTAAAAATGTGTAGAAAACACACAAAATAATAAGTAAAGTAACCTAAAATTGTTTAAATAAGTTAAATTCAACTGAAACAAATTAAATTGGTATTGAGCTCCTGAGAGTATTTTATGGGTAAAATACATCCATTGAACATTCATCTAGCATAGTTATACTCTTCTCATACATGTAAACTACATTAAAATTTATGAGCAAAAGTTTTAAGTAAATCAAACATAGGCTATACATGTGGTAAACCATCTAACTTTTAACTAAACATAAACAATAATAATTATAGGTTGTTCAAAATGACTAATTTTAGACAACACCACCAATGACTCACAATGTTAATGCCCCAAGTTTAATTTCACCGTTGAAATTAAGTAAGAGTAGTACTACAAGTAGCATTATTGTTTATTTCAATTAGTAATGTTAATTATTTAACATCATCAAAATTTCCTATTATTTTAAAGATGAAAGTATATAACATTGTTGTAGTTTTCATTAATTGAGCCCACTAAAGACACAATGTATGTCTATTTAATGTAGCTGATTGTGTAACTCAAGCCGAACTGTAAATACTGAAGATAAGCCCCAACTTAGTGACATACAGTAGTGAGTTTGTGATGTGATATAGGCCTATGTATCACGTAATACTATTTCCTCGTTTGTATCTCATTTTTGGATTATCCTCAGGTAAATATAATTCTTAAACTTCCTTTCTATGTTGAAAGATAGAAGAAATAGCTAGACACCATTAGGTTTAATTAAATTATGCTCTCTTGGAGTAACTGAGAAAATTGGATATTTTACACAATTTTTGCAGGTACTTAATATGTTAAGTATTTTTGCCATTGTGGTTGGCTGGATTTGACATTTGACTCAAGTTAGTCAATGAATTTTTTACAGTAATTATTTTATTTCAAAATGATTAATAAGGTTAATTTTATTACTAACTTGTCCCCTAATTCTTAGAGCTTTTTCATAGGGTTTATTTTTGTTACTTTATTTTCTGTTTTCTTTACGGTTTTCTGATCAGTTTATCAGTTCTATAAAATATTCCTCCATGCGCTCTGTTTTCAGTTTGTAATATTGTCACATCTTCATCAAAGCTGGACTATTGATCATACCTCATTGTTTGTAAATAGTACAACCTGCACTTCTAAATTATTATGGAAAACGTAGTAAATAATCAATTAACTTTCCCGTACCAAAAATTAACAATATCAGTGCAAGCAATTCTTAAACCTGTATATAAAAATATAACAAATTCATATTGAACAATAAAAATGGGTTATTGTTTAAGATTTTTGGTGTAAATGTGGCAATAGGATTTTTTTGGTGTAAATGTGAAGCTACAGCCATTGGTCACCTAGTGCAAGTATCTGACTCCTCACCCTCCTGATGTCAACTAATGTTTTCGCTCTCACTTTAGGGTGGTTTGAACGATATTTGCGTAACTCAATAGTTATTATACCAGATGTAACGTGAGCTGAACTTCTGCAGCGTACGCAGGATCTGTTTTTTTTGTTGTTGAAAGTTATTGGACAAACTTCTTTGGTATTTCTAAACCTATTAATCCTACGTAAATTTGCCAAATTAACCATGTTTTTTACAGTAACCACGATGATGCCTAGTACCACAACGGTCCCACCGCAGTCATCGACAGTATCCGAGACAGAGTTTGTAGACAAGGATACAGAGTTTGACAGAGTGGAGGATCCGTCGTCCTGTGTCAGAGTCATTGTACACATGTCTCCAATGAGGTTGTGTCGACAACAACAACAGCTGAGGGAGAGTATTGCGGCCCAGCTGACTCCACAGTGAGTGTTGTTTTTTTCGGTCTTATTTATAGAACAAATTAAGAAATAGACATGTAACTATATTAAGAGACCGGTTTAGTATCAGCCAATGACCCAGGGAAGTAGGTATTTTGAAGACTTCATCACAAGACCAAAAAGTCTAGGTTACAGTATACTTTTTAGGGTCCATAGAACCCAAAAAACTGTGAGGAGTTCAAGCATGTAGGATTATGAAATTGTTAACCCTTACCGCGCTGTTGACGAATATACTCGCCAAAATTCCCTTTGCTCAACACGCTATGAATACTCGCCTTTTTATTCAGAATGCATTGGCTGTTCTTGGTAGTTCTTAGTTTTGCCGATAGAGTGCAGCACCTATTGGGACCATCTCTTGTGATGGAAAATCACAATAACAACATTCAGTGCCCTCTGATTATTCCCGGGAATGTAAAAATGGTGGCACGTGTTTTGCTGGTCTCTGCTATGAGAGACCAGCGCTGTGGACAGACTTAACTCGCAAGTGTTTAGTTCACTCTCAGACTCCGCGGGAAGCTTCGTTCTTCGTCATATAAAATTGGCAAACAAAAAAAGGTGACCATAAAAAAAATTAATATCATTCTTTTTTCATAACAAAATAGTTGGAATCTCCGATTTAAAGCTTTTTTCTGAATCTAAAAGTATTTGTGATACCTGGTGTGGCAGTTGAGTAGTTTACCCTGTGGTTTTAGCCATTATTATTACATTTTTTAAAACATTATTAATTAAAGTCTATTACAAGTTAAAAGTATTGGCTAATGGTTTTCTCAAACCTAACTATCATAGTACCTTTCATGGTCTCTCAAAATTGGGATTCACACAGCACATAATCGTATGGATTAATAATTGTAGTAAAAAATCTCATACATGACACTGCAGGATTTGTTTTAAATGAAAGAATTTCCAACTACTTATCTAAACGCTAGTTCTCAACAACTACACTTTAGACAGCCTCTACATATGGTTACACACCATTATTTTCAGTATTGGCCAAACATTACTCCTCCGTCACCATGGTAACAAATAAACAGTTTGTTCTATTTAGTACTGTCTCCAAGCATCTCTAACGTGCAGGGAAAAGTCCAAATTTATTTCTTTTCTTCAAATTCGACTTTTAACTATAATTAAAATTTCAAATAATTTGTGGTCAACATTAAAACTTTTTGGATAGAGTTTAGTTGTTCACATTATTGTTTACGACTTTCGACAGACTTTTTATTTTAAATTGTGTTTTATAATTTCAGCATTGTATCCTGGGACCAAGTTTTGATTTTGAAACCACAGGAGTGTGATTCTGGAGATATTTCTGATCGAGAGCAAGATTTGAGTGTTCATGTGTGCTTCACTGGACAAGATGAACTTCCCAGTCCTGCCATTCGAAATGAGTTTTTGAAACGCTTCTCTGAAACGATAGCTGATCCTAATTTTCCTGTAAGTACTATCAAAAGAAAATATTTCTAAAGTGAAACAATTATATGTTTTCTTTTATTGGAACCCCTTTGTGATAGTTCTATACAACAAATGAAATAAAATAAAACATTTATATAATGATAGATTGAGGATGACTGAAGCAATTTAACATGTTATTTGAGATACTAAGTCATACACTAAGTATGGTTTAACTGTGTTTTTTACTGATTTTACATATACCATAAAAGCAAACAGTTTGAAATTCATGATTATGACTATTAGTTTGCAGGTCCTTAAGGATAAATTGTGCAAAAAATTAAATGCTTAAGCTTCAAGTAAAGCAATAAATTAATGATACCCTACGCTGTGTGGCGTGTCACATCATTTTGAAACTAAAGCTCTTCCGGCTTTGTCAACCTCAATCCAACCATGAAAGTAGGATGATTTAACACGTTCGCTGCGGCCCACCAATGGCAGGCGTAACCCTGGTGCGGGGCAGCATCAAACGAACCCGTTTGGCTTTTAAATATCTATGACAGGACGACAAAGATGATTTGTAAGGGTGCCAGAAAGGGATTTTACAGGGAAATTTACCACCAACCTACACCACAATAAAGCACTCATTCCTAGCTAAACACAGACATAAAATGCCCTTTTTTCCTGGTGTGTTTCTGCGCAGAAATTGAATGGAATGTAGGCGATGCCGGCACTCACCGGTGAGCGTTCAGCGTGGCAGAAAGGAACTAGAGCACTCACCAGTGAGTGGCCCGTAGTGAACGTGTTAAAAGTTATAAACACCCTGTTACCTTATTTATTTTAGACCCATTATTTGCATGCCTTGTACGTCTAACGTAATGAATCATTCTTTATTTTTTTATTCCCATACCTATTTGTTGCATGATTGTTGCTTGTGGCAGATTATCAATGTTCAGATGATCATGGACCCTCCGATGATGAACCCTGATGGTTTTGACAATGTATTGGCGGCCATCATCCTGTCAGGAATTGCAGCCATTTGTCTGGTGTTGCTGGGAATACTGCTGGTAACTACTAAGGATTAAACCATAGATTAGACACTCCCTTGGATTTAGATTAGATCATCCTAATTGATCAGTTGTAGACATTTTATTGTTAGTTCCGCCAGGGACCGCTAGGGTCGTGTTTACAATTTGTCTTATTCGTAATAGATATAATGAATAATGTACTGAGAATTTAACACAATTTTTCAAAATGGTTAAGGTCCAAAATCTGAAAAATCTTTATTTCTGTTTTTCTTTTGAAACTTACCGGTACTCAATTTTTGAATTTTTTCAGGATAGTATTAATTCACAATCATGAAAGTGTGCAGAGTTTGTGTGTCATGATAGCGTGATTCTAGTTATCAGTATTGAAAAGAAAATCATGAATCAATAATCAATTCCTGGATATCACAGATTTTTAAAGTTTCAGTTTTAAAAATCAGAAATGGCCCTTTAACAATATTTACAGTTGTAAAGCAATATTGAATTTCCTTACTAATCTGTGATGTGTAGGTGATTGTGCGTAAACGTCAAGGGAGGTTCAACTACGGCCAGCGCTGCACACCCGTCTCTCTAGATGACTACAGCCTAGACAACATTTCTGTGTACAACAGTGTCCGTAGAAAGGGAGCCCTTCGTGCCTCCAAACGCTCCTATGGCAACCCTGGCTTTGATGACCCAGTGAGTATAAATACTTTGTGTTACAGATATGTTTGATCTTAACTTGAGGTTGAGCAAAAGGGCCTGGGTTTTAAGGATTTCTGTGAAGACTGCAAGGCTTACTTGAATGGGAAAACACACAAATTAACTAAAACTGGAATACTAAAGTTGGAATTTTTGTACCTAACCCACTATATTGCTTGAATAAATACCTCTTTTTTGTATCAGGTATTAGTATGGATTATTGGACATGGCCCAATCGGAGAATGTTGATATAATCAAAAATGTTTAACTTTGACCTGTGGACTTAGTTGGAAAGGTCATATGGTACAGAAAATATTTTTTTAATCATTGTAAACCATTGTGTTATCAAATGTCAATAATGTTGAAAATCATTAAATTAGTTATGTAAACAAATTTGGCCTTTCAAGTATAATAATCTTCTCTAAAAGTACAAATTACCCTCAAGCTTGTGAGATAAAATATTTCATTAAAGAAAATACTGTTCCACTCACCAAATACTCTCTGCAGGGAGCGCCGACTCATTCTATAAACTTTGCGGGATTGGCCAACTTCAGTAGTGATCGTCGGGCTTTAGACGAGGAGTTCAACCAGATTCCGATGATCACGGTGAAGCCAGACGAGCTGCCGCCGGGAGCTGAGAGCAAGAACCGCTACGCCAATGTGATCCCTCTACCCGAGACAAGAGTTATGCTGCAAACCAAGGAAGGAGCTGATCATTTGGATGATTACATCAACGCAAACTATATCAAGGTATAAATAGAATCATTTACCAGCATTGCCATTTTTTACAATGATTTCATAAATTGCTGTTACATCCACAGTGACCACAGACCTGGAATTCGGGCAAAACCAGGAACTATGTGTAAATTTGTAAAAAGAATACAAGATATTATGCTTAAGTTAAAAATTTAATTTTTTTTGGGTAAGCCTAATTTTAGTACCATTTTGTTCAACATTTAAAACAAGTATGAGACAAATTTTAAAGGTATTCAGTGACGTACTTTATTTGCTTGAGTAAAGACTCATAAAACTCTGTTAACCCAGAAAAACCCAAATCAACAGTTAAACTCATTTAACATCAAGAACATTATTATCTGGGGGTCATAGTAAAATTGAGGTCATCTAGTGCTGATATTTCGTCCAAGTAGAGTCGCAAAGTACAGAACATTTTTCATGGTCATGACCACAATTTTCCTCACCATCGGATTGTCTCGACCCGATATTGGCTCTTTGTCATTTGGGCCCTTTGTTATCTGGAAATACCAGGGGCCTGCAGAGCTCCAGTAAAAAGATAATCTCGGCGACCGAAAATTGTGTGGACTTATCCATGATATCTGTGGCCACTCTGTAAATCTCATTAAGATTTAATATACTTATTTAATTGGATTAAGGGACATTTTTCTCTCTCTAGTACTATTATACCCTTTCTTCAAGCCATCCTAATTGACTCTACAATTGCTCGATCATTCATATACTGTGCTACTCATAAACAATTTTATAAATTTCAGGAAAAAAGTTATTGAAAACTTTTCAATTATATCAATTATTTTTAAGATGGGGACGCCACTATATGTGCATATTTTGACCCAAATATGAGTGAAGGATGAGGGGTAGCGGATTTTTATCCCCCTGGAATTTTACCCCCTGGGCAAACGTGACGTCACAAACCAGGGGGTAAAATTCCGCCTGCGAACTTTTGAGTTTCGCGACATCAGCTCGATGCATTAAACGCGGAATTAAACACATATTTTCACGGTTGTGAATTTAATCAGAACACATTAAATTACAAAAACCTAGAATGTACGGCCCGGATTTTTACCCCCGGAATTTTACCCCCTGGATTTTTACCCCCCGGATTTTTAACCCCGGAACTTTACCCCCTGGCCAGATATATAAATTAGTGAGAATGATTATTAATTATCTTCATTAGGTTTTTATTTAATAGTAAACATTTTATTATTAAGTAGCCTATCTTAATTTATCTGTAACATTAACTAATCGAACAGGTTTTCAATTTTAATTTTGAGATTCAAATATCAGGATTCGATCTTTAAAGCCAACTGTTGGTTAATATGATGAAAATAAAAGAGCAAATTCTGTTTACTTAGTTGAAATTACAAAATAAATAAATAAAGATAGGGTACTAAATAATGAAATGTTTACAATTAATTAAAAACAGAAAGGAAGAAAATCAATCATTCAATTTCTAAAATGGGCTAGGGGGTAAAATCCCGGAGGGGGGGGGGTAAAATTCCGGGGGTAAAAATCCGGCCCGTACATCTTCAGTTGTTTAAACGCTAGTTATATGGACAGGGGGTAAAATTCCAAGGGGGATAAAATTCTGGCGACCCAAGGATGAGTGGCGCGATCTTGTAGTCCTCTTAGTGACTAAGGCCGACATATTCCTTAGACACAGCTGTTAATGAATAGTCCATACAGCTAATGACAACTAAGATAGATTTTGTCTCTTAAGGGACAGAAAAAAGCATAGATCTAGTTTTAACACAAATACATGCATAATTAGAGCTTCTTATTTGCAAAAGATAATTTATTTTCTATGGATTAGTTTGTTTTAACAAAGATTGGGTTTTTAATGTTTTAATCAGTCATCAGATGATCATAGTTCAATTAATTTTCGTCCATGATTATTTTGCATGCATATTTTCCCAGAACAAATAAAAAAAATTGTCCATAACTACAACTGTGTCATTTTTAAGCTTCATGAAAGCTAAGTGTAATTTTTACAAATTTTCTTCGTAGGGTCCCAAAGGACAAGAGAAGCTGTATATAGCATGCCAAGCTCCGCTACAATCCACCATTGAGGACTTTTGGAGGATGGTTTGGCAACAACAGACAAAAGTGATCCTCATGCTTACTGCTCTCAATGAAAATGGAGTGGTGAGTATCGATTTGGGACCTTTAGTAAATGTTTAGGAATGATTTTTTTCATTTAAATATAGTGTAAGCAGGTCGATAATAGAGAAGGGGGTCATGCGACAAAGGGGGTGTGATTAGACAGCCCATATGTGCAACTGCATGTATATTATAGTTATATTTTTTCACGCACATATATTTATACCTAATACCAATGTACTCAGGTACAATATATATGTAAATAATTTGTTTCCTATTTATTTCTATTTTTCAGGAAAAATGTGCCGACTATCTTCCACAACTTGAGATCACCGATTGCCACAGAATGTTTGGAGACTTCCAAGTAACTCTGAAGAAGCATGAAGTTAGAGAAAAGTATATCATCTCCAGCCTTCAGCTAAAGGTATTTATATTATTACTAAACCAACTAAGTTACCAGTAACGTAAGGTAATAATAATAAACTTGGAAAACCCAAAAACTCAGGAGATGAGGAGCTTCGGGTGGAAATATTAGTTTATATCAGGAATCTCCAACCTAGGGGCTGCAGAATGCCAGCATGAGTGATTGAAAAAAAAAACACTGATTATCTTCTACAGCGAAAACCTGTTTGGTGGTCTAGGGGATACTGTAATCGCCTCCCAAAATCTCTGCAACACTCGTGAGCATATCTTGTTGTCTCAGTAATACAGTGATCGTATCCTGCAATATCGTCAAAACTTCTAAACATATATTGCGTTCCCGGCAATACCTTGGTCGCCTCCCGCAATCTTGCCAGTACTTGTGAGCATATCTTGCGATCTCAGCAATGTCATCATCTCCTACGATGGCGACAACACTTGTGAGCATATCTTGCGGTCTCAGCAATACCATGATCATCTTCGGTGATCTCGGCAATAATGGTTTCTGGCAATTTCCTGAAAGAACCACGGTGGAACACCAAATCTCTAAAAACCACCATTATACCCTTAATTAGTTAACAACTTTGTGGGTTTATGGGGTTTAACACGTTCACTGCGTTACATATTTTCCACCATTATTCCAATGGTGCGTTACGAGATCTATAGGTCTCGTCCGCTATGATTACCCAGGTGCGATACGAGACCCCGAGATTACGTTGCGCAGTAATCTTTTGCGCATCATAACCTCGTAAAGAAAGGCAAGAGAGTGTTTGTTTATCTGAACCAGTACAATGTTGACAATCTTCAGCCAGCCCAGGAAGTAAATATGACGTCATTGTACGAGACCCCGAGATCTCGTACCGCACAGCTGTAATAGTTCATTATTTATTTGTATTTATTCTTTTCCTACAATAACAAATTAAGAAAAATATATGTTAACGGTTTATTTACGAATTCCTTATAATCGTAATCGTTATAAAAAATATATTTTTTCTTTCTTTTATCATATTTATATTAATGCGTTTCCTTACGGCTGATTTCAGGCTAAATAAAATACAAATGGAAATGAAATATGTTTACAAATTACTGTATTTATTTTGTTATAATTTTGGGGTTGGGCTATGACCTCGAAATGAGTGCGTGCCAACAGTGAGTCGAGTGGGCGGGGGGAAGGGATGGGTGCAACCTTGATTGTATTGCTTATGTGTATATTTAGACTTGCACCACTTCCCTAAAGGGCTGGGAAAGGGATCCCAATCGCAAAACAAAAACTAATGATACAAAGTTGTTTATCGGAAATTTCTTGTCCGGTTTGACGATTATTTAGCATTGATTTTTGTATGATTTAGTAGGGACCAGGAGAAATATTCGAATTAATGTAAATGATTTGCTTGTTTACATCAAAATACAACATTGCACAATCGTGATATTTTAGGTCATTTACCAGTGACCTTTATTACGCACCCGTTAGTGCTAATAACAGTATAAAAACGCCATTATTCTTTCTCTTTGTTCTTGAATTATTTCTTTGGTTTCCTTCCTTCATCCAAGCATTCAACAAAGGTTACCATGGTTAGTAATCACCCCATCAGCCTCATGTAGTGCTTGGAACAACTACTTTTGATACGAGACCCAGGGGTCTCGTATCGTAATAAAGTAAAAGTTTATTACTTCAGTGCGTTACGAGATCTATTTATCTCGTTCATTTCATAGTTACTAGTTGATACATCAAGAAAAATGCATTATATATGTACAACTTTCATTTCTTTACGATAACTGTACGCCGAAATATCAATGTCGTAATTTTTGGAAAGAAGCCAAATTATGGGTCCCGCACTACGGGCTAGGTACGATACGAGACCTCGGGATCTCGTAGCGCAGTGAACGTGTTAAACTTTCTTTTATTCTCTGTATTACACAAATATTTCTAACCCAGCTCTCCTTCCCTCCAAATATTTACAATGTGGCCCTCGAGGAGATAGTAATGTTAGTAAATTTGAATTTTAAAACTAAATCAATCATCCTAATAGTAGAAAGTAATATATCTAATTAAATTAAGAGTGGTTTCAATAAACTTTTAACGAGCGTGGCAAGTGTGAGGCCGAAAGGTTGGAGACCTTAAGGTTTGGATCTTATTTTTGACCTGAGTCACTTTGTTGTATGGGAAAAATTTAATTTCTGTATGAGTGTAGGGTAGTAGTGATTCCTTGTCTAATTCTAATTTTCTTACAGACCGAAACTAGCTAATTCTCTTCAAAATAAGTTTATTGACAGCTCAACAATAAAAAGAGATCCGTCTCACACTTGGTAAGCTTAAGAAATTTCTCACATGAAAATTGGCAATCTCCTGATACCAATCTAACAATTCTACTCCCATATTTGGGGTCAATTAGTGCTAACTTTTGTTATCAATGGAATTTTATATTGCCAAACGTATAGCGCTTTCTCTGAAGAGCCATGCTCAGTGGCTAGGTAAACTAAGTCAGAGGTGTTGGTCCAGGTCTATTTGAGGTTAGGTGCAAGGTGATTTGCCTCTAGGAATGCAGGTATGCCCACTTGCTCTAGATGTATGTGTTTTTTCTTGTGGTATTTGTATAAATTAATAATCAATTTTTTTCAGAACCTGGAGACCAACCTGTGGAGGGAAGTTACTCACCTCTGGTACGTCAGTTGGCCCGCCCAAGGCGTTCCGGACGATTGCAGTTCCATGATAGCGTTCCTGATAGAGGCGCGTTCGTACATGCGCGGTGCACAGGGCCCCACCGTCGTACACTGTAGTCCCGGCACCGGTCGTACTGGTACCGTCATCGCCATAGACCTCTGCATCCGGGACTTTGAGACTCTACGCAGCGTTGACATACCCAAGACCGTCTACGCTCTGAGGAGGGACCGGGCTGGATGTGTGCAAACCAAGGACCAGTATTCTTTTATCTATCAGGTATGGTTTAGTCTTTTAGGTTAAGTTTGGGGGGTTACTGAACAGCCGTTCATCATGATGAAGTTTAGGTACCTGGAGTCTGATCTTGTAGGAGAGAAAGATAATTTTATAGAGCTAGATAAGTACACAATCCTTTCTCCAGTTGGAAAACCACTAAAGAAAAATCACATATAGAACAGTTTAGTAGCTTTTCGACTAGACATTCCATCCATATTCATACTGGTTATATATTTTTTTAAATTGAAATTGTTGCACAGACACAGGGTGCATTGATGTAAATTAGTGATTTCTCAAAGTCAACTGATGGGGCAACTAATAATAGTGCCATTGCATGAATTTTGCTAACAACAGTTGGACAAACTAAAAACATCTAATTTGAATATAAAATTATTATTGTGTTGGTGAAGTAATACATATTATATCTAAATCTAAAAAATGTTTATGTCAGTTCATATTAGAAAGCCAGTATTAGTAGGACCATTTTGAAGACTAATTGATAAATGCTGAATAATTTCAGATAGCTCAAATAATGGTTCAGTATTACAAAAAATATAGTTCATCCTACGGGCATGATCTCGACTTTGCTTTACTCGTTAAACTAGACCTTGTGCCGTACACTGAAGTGATGAAATTCTAATTTAATATCAGGCATGATAATATTTTTCTACTTTTAGGATGAATTATAATCCTCATTGTTTGCAGGTGCTGAACTTGTACGCTACCAAACTGACTGGAGGTGCTCTGGATTCTATTTGAATTGTTAATTTATGAACCGACTTCTTGCCTGATTCTTCCCTTTTTAGAACATTAGATCAGTTTTGTAACCAATCTTCTAGTTTGCATATATCAGTAAAATCCATTTATTTGACAAACTATTAACATCTTACTCTGAAACATTTTTACCTCTTTAGTTTCCGAATTAATATCATATTATTTGTATAAAGTATATCTATTAAGTATTGTTTATATTCTCTCTATTAATCTTTAAAATTTGTACATATAGGACTGTAAATGTTTTAATTTTTTTTTGTGGACATTTATTTATCATTGTTTGACAAATTTGTGGATGCTAGTTTATATTTTGACATTAATTTTAACCAGTTTAATCAAAATTGAAATTGAGTTTATATATAAAAAAAAAATGACTCAATCAGTATTACTCATTAAGATCGTCTCTGTAATAAATCATTGGTGTTCACTGTAGTTTAATATATTATTTGTTAATGTACATACCTAAATATTTTTGTAATCAGTTATACGTCCCTGTTGTTTATATTTATGTAACCTATTGTATATTCTTAAATGTGATATTGCTGTTTTTGTTTTTGATGTTTATATTTCTTGTTATACCATAATATTTGTACCCTACCCATATCCTGAAGTATGATTCACGTATGTAATGTTATGAATAAATATTTTTCTTTGTATCTTTGAATTTAGCATTACTTTTTTATGTTTTAACACCATCAAACTTTTATATTTCAATCAGTTAAGCTGTTTTTCACAAAGCCAGTGGACGAGCAGGTTACATGTCTCAGGGAACTTGGAATACATTAGAGGCAGGTAATCTGCTCTATAACCTGCCAGCCCGGGTCGCCGGAAGACTGTCCCCCGGAAAACTACCCCCCCAAACAGGTCCCTACGTCATATTGACGTCAGAGACCGGGGGGGGGGGGGGGTAGTTTTCCAGTCACGGACACTCAAATTTAGTTGTCAGTTCTAATCTAACCTAACCTAACCAACCAAACTTGCTGTAACATTTCGAAATTCTGTTTTATATTCACCACATGACTTTTCTATTATCCAATGGAATTACTCAAATTAAAATTAAATAGCATGATTTGTCTAGGGGGGGGGTAGTATTCCAGTCTCGGACACAGCTTCCATATTGGTTATAAGTTATAGTTGGCCGATTTTGTGACGTCACGTTTCACCTGGGGGGGTAGTTTTCCGGGGGATAGTATTCCGCATCCCCGCCAGCTCTACTGGTCTCATGTAAACGCAGCTTAAGTAAAGAGATTGACGATGAAGCGTAGGTTAAAAAAAGTAAAGGTGTTAATTTTCATTCATTGCGTTTAAAAATGTTATTTTATATGATTTTTGAATACCTATTTTTGTTTTTTAAAGGTCTATATTTATTCTGAAACTTGCTTTCAAGATTTGCATAAATTGATTTCCTTAAAACATATTCAAGATTGTTTTGACGTCTAAACCTGTTAAATGTTATTATTTTTGTAATTTTCTTCAAGAAATATTGTAGTCCGTGCTCCACCCCACGCAACTATAAATGTTCTCATTTAGGTCCCTCAGCAGATCACTTTTTAATATTAGCATTAACTAATGACATTGTGACTTTTTTTCACATTAAATTCAGAAGATTACATATGATAATGTTAAGAAGTAAGATATTTTTCCTACAGTCACTCGACAAAGTTGGCTTCCTTGTACTGTTTATAGTACAGAAAGCTGCTAATTGCTGCATATTTATACTTTGCAGTACGGTTTATACTTTGTCATACGGTTTATACTTTGCCGCACATCAGGATTCCAACGAAACAACACAAAACAGCGTACTATTATGCACGTAATCAGTTTACGCTTGGAAATAGGTTGGCAACACTTAAAGATAAAAACACTATGAGCAGCTGATTGACTATTATAACTACGATTTAACCTGTCATTTCGTGTTTATAGTTTCGGTATTTCTGAACTTTCTGGACTTTTCTTTTAAACGTTTTTAAAACATTCCTACGATCTTAATAAACAAGAAAATACCTTTAAAGCATTTTTTTAGGCGTGGAAACCACTTCAAATTACAAAAACATACGGAACTATATTCTCAAAACGCGGAGCACATTTCTTGCCGAGGAAAAATAGCGGAGTGATACGGACCGGGTACTACTTTCTCTAGGGCACCTATTTGTGTTGCCAGCTGAACCTAAAAACGTGTTGTATAGTGTTTGAAAGACTAATTATTTATATGCTTTATAGTGACTGTAGGAAAAATATAATGTGTAACACGAGTGCAAAAGGCCTTTGCTGCACTCGAGATCATTCCACACCCGCCTGCGGCTCTAGCGTAAACATTGCTCTCGTGTGCAGCAAAGTGCCACTTTACCCACTAGTTACACAAATAACTATTACACTCTTGGAATTGAGAATGATGAAAATCAACAGACCCAAGTACTTATAATAAACTTTCATGTAATTCAGTCTTTATCAGTATAAAATCCACACACACTAACTTAAAACTATATAACTTAGGGTTTACAAATATGTCAAGAATATATTACAAACATACATATCTTTCATGAACATAGTAGATACTCTCATAAAAAGCCAAATGTACAAGGAAATTAACAACTTAGCCAGCACCTTCCGGCAACCTCTTGAAATCACTAAAACAATTACAGGGGTAAATAAATACTACAAAATAAAAAAAGCTTATCATTCCTCAGCAAAACAGAGTGGTTCTATTCATTAATTTAAATATACAACACACTCTATATAATTAAACAAATAAAGATAATATTTAAAAATAACTTAAATATTTCTTCATACCCTTTCAAGACCTGAATATCTTGCAAACTGCTGTTCTACAAGTCTTTTCATTGATTTCACTCCAGCCCTGACCATTTCACACACTCATTAGCAACAGTTTCTCTGTCTAAACTACAGCAAAACCCTTTAATTGCACCTTGTTTAACCTAAACCATAATATAAATTCAGATCAATTGGAAAACTAGCGCAATGGGATAAAACTAGCGCAATGGGAATTGTCCGACATGGTGCAGGTAGTTGGCCCGACTTTGCTAATGTAATGAAATACAAAAAACAGATCTTTATATGATAAGTCGGATCTCAAACTGTTAAAAAAATGATAAACAATAATATTTAGCAATAATATTTACAGTTCTGAAAATAATTAATGTGAAAAACTATTGTACTTCTCTTTGAACCGAATTAGGTAATAAATTCCAAAATATGATTCGAAACATAGCATACGGTACCGGTACTTAAATGTTTCCCTTTATTTCAGTTAAGCCTAGTTGGGGCTTTACTGTATTTCGACTCAAGACCTGTTCATTTGACTCATTCCCAGGTAAATTTTTACAAAATTATACTTTTTTATACTCATGCCCGGATGGTTGGCCTAGCCAGTGTCCACATAGGTTGCACCATATCTCCTTGGCAAGTACAGGTCACAACTCTGTAGCCAAAGTAGTATTCCAGCTGGTTCAACACGTACACCACCGAGTTGTAGAGCGTGATCTCGTCCTTGGTCTCGTCTTTGCCGGTGAGCCTCAGTCGATTCTTGATCTCCGTGATCTCGTGGTCACTCAGTCCGTAGACCCTGGTGTTAGCCATGCCGAGGGTGCCTCTAACGATGATGTATGGCATTCCCGACACCTACAAGAATTGAAGTATAGATTTCATTGATTGAATTTCCTATTTATTTATTTATTTATTGGGTTACATGTCAGTACATCATAATAACAGGACATATTGTCAATGGTTAAATAAAGATTTAAAACTAATACATCTGTATTTACACAAAATCAACTGAATCTTCCCAAAATACAACATTGTTACATGACCAAAAATTGAGCTAGTGGGAAGGTTTATTTATACCTAATTCCAGCAGTCCTTAGGCTAAAATAATCTGCCAATGACAAAAAGATCTAGTCTTGAGCCAATCTTTTAAAGAAAGTCTAAACTTACAGGGATTTTCTAGAGTAATTAAACTTGTTGTTAAGTTATTTATGATTTTTGGACCAATGTATTGTGGTGATAACTTGAATATTTGTAAATTATGAGCTACAGGTTTGATAATACAGTATTCTTTTTTCTTGTATTGTAAATATGTTGAGTTTGGGTATCCATAAAAGTGGAGAGGTTTCTTTGGACCCAGCATCCTATTTCTAAAATATAGTGATCGTAAAAAGTTAGAACTTTAAAGTTTTGAAACAGTTTTTTACTAGGGGTTCTAACTTAGGGAGAACTTTGCCAATAATTCGTATTACTTTTTTTTGTAATTAAAAACTCTTTTTTGAATAAGGAGAGCTACCCCAGATCAAGATACCATATGTTATTAATGATGAGAAATATGCATGATATATTATTAGCTGGGTTTCTAGATTTGTTTGTGAGATTATTATTATTTAAAAAATGCAAGGGTCTATTTTTTTACTTACATTTTCAATTTGAGATGCCCATTGCCCAGTTAAGATTTTTATTTAAAATTAATCCGAGGAATTTTACATTTTGTTGTGGAGATAATTGATTATTTGAAAAGATAATGTGATTTGAATCATCTTCCCTGTAGCTAGCCAAAAAGTTTATAGTTTGTGTTTTTTCCACATTTAGGGCCAGACCATTTGCCCGGAACCAGTTACCCAGAGCAGAGAATTCTTTGTCTATGACAGTCTGCAGGAAGTCAATAGTGGGTCCTCTACACAAAAGCATTGTGTCATCTGCATATTGAAAAAAGTTTCATCTTTGTTATGTTTGGCAGATCATTTACATAGATTAAAAACAAAGAGGGACCCAATATTGACCCCTGTGGCACACCACATTGCACTTTATCCCAAGATGAATTTACTTGTTGTCCATTTTTGCTAATTTTAGTTCTCTGATATAAATTAGTTTAATAGGAAGAAAACCACAGTTGCACTTTTCCTACAACTAAAATTTTGACTAGCTTTTCAATTAAAATTTTGTGGTTAACACAGTCAAAAGCGCTGGATATGTCGCACAGTATACCCGCAGCTTTCTGCGACCTTCTGCTATTTAGAAACCCACACTGCAATTGTAATCTGTTTTGATCACCAATGCATCATTCAGAAGAGCTTTTAAAGAAAGGTTTTAAGGGATTAATCCGAATAATTCTCAATAATAAAAATGGAACAATTATACTATTGGATTAAATTTTAGAAGAAAGGGAAAGCAGCTAGCATACATTACAGAAGAATTCCAGGTAGGCCACAGTACACACAAAAGACAAAAATCACAAAATATATTGTTTCTGGGGACTTCGTCAAGTTTTTTTTCCCAACATTCAAAAGCTATACTTGATCATAGTAGGTACTTAAATCCCAATAACATTTTAGGTTCCTTAACGTTCCTTGTGTCCAGATCCACTGACGTGTGTTTCGCGACCGGAATTATTTACGGTTTTGCATGGCAGAAAAATCAAACTGGTCTGAGGGCATTGGCAGTCCGGAATCCGCCAGCGGAGAGGTGCCATCAATTATTGTGACGGTGCATTTATTGCAATTACATCATGTATTGTGCGTAAAAAGAGGTGTTGATTAGCGTTAGAGGTGTTTAGAGGTTAATTAGAGGTGTTTGTTCTTATTTTTGAACGCATTCAAAGGTTGTTTGTCGCAACATTATTTACTCAGTCTCATGAACCAACCCTTGGGGTTTTGCATGGTGTAATTTCTGCAACGGAAAATTTTGTACCGCACGCCGAAAATTCCGCAGTCTGCAGAACCATAGCTTGAATGCCCTAATGAAGATTTCATAGTAAAAAGACACAAAAAATAACATTCAATTGGAAATGTAATAGATCATTGGGGAAATTGCTTAAAAACACCCTTGATAGCTGAAGTAGGTCATCTAAATGCACTCAAAGCAGATTTACTTTGTAGAGGTTTACGGGAAACTCAGATGGAAGCATTATGTTCCGAGTTGTTGTCACTGATGCTCCCTTATGTTTCCATCTCTCATAAAAAAGTCATGGAAAAAGACAAAATGTTTAAAAATTACCAAAAAACTTGGGAACACAGATGGTCCTATGCCTTGCTTAATTCACTTGCTGTTCAATCACTGATTGTGGAATTTCGTGCAATTAATTCTAAATTTTTAAAGAGTTAAGTAAAGTTTGGCGATAAATTGGATAAGGGCAAGAACTGTTTGTGCAGTACCTACCAAGGCTAACTCGAACATTGCTGAGAAGATCAAGAAGGGATAGCAGAGCAGTCAGCAAGAGAATTTGAAGCTGAGGATTGGATTCCAACTTTTTTTAGTGTCAAAAATATTGTTGATTTCTAACTATTTTCTAGACCAGTTTCTATCGAATTAAAAATATTTGAATGATGGGATTGAGAACTAAAGATGGAGCTGGGATTCCACCTTTTTAATCGTCCAGATTATTATTGACTCATAACAGTATTTAGTTCTAGACCAGTGTCCGTCAAATTAAAAACGTCCGTTCAAGTTAAAAAAAATGTAAAGTTTTATATTTTGCGTCTTCTTGTCCAACTGAATTTCAAATATGCAAATTTGATGGGAAGCTGCATAGTAAGTGGATAATGTATAAATTGCATTAATGATATGTCTTCTTATATTAACCCATCATCTTACTTATCTTATTTACTTCACTTTAATACCCTAAAACTCTCTTACTTTTGCCCAGTCAACATTACAAAATTGATTCAATAAAAAATGTGTGTTCAAAAATGTTCAAAAATTTGTGTGTTCCGTTTGTGTGTAAATATAATTTGTTGAAACATTAATGTTAAAATACATTTGGTCGTTAATTGTGATTATTTTAGCATTGTTGTATCATTTTACATCAAACTGTGAGTTTAATTGATTAGATAGCTTATCAGTAGGCCTACATAGAGTGTATATGAATCACTTTTAAACATAAACCTCTTTAGGCACCTTGACAGAACCTTTTGGAAAATTTAAATAACATACAATAGGTACCTTATACCGGCATTTGTTTTATTCACTAATAAAGGCCTACACTACTATTTTACTTTTATGAACAAAAGAAAGATTAGATAAGAAAACATTATTTATTTTCTTGAAAAGCTAAATTGCTTATTATGGTTATTCTTCTCTCTGTTCTTTTTAGCAAATAGATGTAGGGACCTATCTCATCATTGTCTATTATCTATACCCCGTTCACAACATGTTAACGGTTAAAGCGAAGTTCCTCCACCTCTTATTTTTGCTTAATGTATGTTGAAGATGATTGAAGTTTTAGCAAACTTCAGCAGTAGTCAACATGTTGAGCTACGGTATTATTATAAAGGTAGGAGCAAGTGGAGGGGATGGATGTCTTCCCCTAAAACCGCCTAAATATTGTGAACCGGTGTAGTACTACTCACTTGAGGAAAACACACACCATGAAAAATTGTCAACTAAAATTATACACAAAACCAGTTTAAACATTTTCAAACACCCCTCTTTCTAAAGGTCTAGTTTCAAAGTTTTAATACTACTAGGTCTAAAGTATATTGCATCAGCATTCAAAATTGTTATAACTTATTCTTAGTAGACCAGGTTTAAAGAGAATAAAACCAAGCAAAACTATTTCACTGTTTTAATATTTATTGTTAATACTCAGATCATAACAACAAACCAATAGCAAATTCATGAAGACTGAAAATCTAATTGTTTAACATTAATGCAAAGAACTGTTGGTTATTTTTTTAATTACTGTACCACGTTTTAAATCTAAACATAGCAACCATAGCCTTTAAGATTGTACATAGCCTACAGAGTTGAGTGTGACGTCTGGTAGGGACCGTGTTACGATCAAACTGACAAAATTTGTTATAAGTAAATTTAAACTCAGGGCAATCTAGAGTACAGTACTGCTAAAATAACTTCTAATACTTTTAATTTTTAGTACCAAGTTTGACTAACAAATTAGTGATTTGAGGGTCAGTCTTTTAAGGAGCTTTTAAATAAAGCCGTTCATAATTTTTGTTGTAAATCCAATGATTTTAAAGAGCTAAATGTCTACATCACCACTACCCCATACAACAGTGTTACTTTTGATTTATTATTATTACCGTACACTGTTCTAGCACATTGAAAAGGTTTTCCATAGGCTATAGCTAAGTAGCTTTTGTTAGGCTAGTTGTACCTATACAAAGAAACAGAGACCTAATAACATAAAACAAACAGCAAGCCATAAAATATTTTTTTGACACTTTGAGAAATACTACGCTATGGGTATCAACTGTTAGGCCTAATGTCTTTCCCAATTAACAAGTCAGTGTTTAACAATAGGCTAATACTGTACTGCACTACAAAACTTTTGAAAACCAATTAAAATAAAGGATGCTAATCAGATTTGAAAGGTAAATTTAACTATAAGTCTTGCCTTTTTGACTAACTACGTACAGTATTACTTAAAAACAATACATACTGTTACAGGACATTATACAAATAATTCGTTAAGCTGTAGTAGGCCTATGAAGGTATCTCTACGATCTGTTTAAAAATGCTCGTTGATAGAAGCCTATTTATTCTGGCCAGCCGTAATGAACTAAGGTATTTATTGATGATTTTTTTAAACAATGAAAATAAAAAAAAACTAAGTAACATAACTTGCATAAGTTACCGGTATATGTTCATTTCCGCTAAGATTAATAGGATTACTAGGCATAAATGATGTTAAGTACCGGTAACAGAAAATATTTTTCTCTAAGTTAAGTAGGCCTGCATTGTGATATCTTTTAATGGTTTTACAAAAACCAATATGACATAAGTTAATGTTTACCAGCAAATATGTTTAACATAGGCTCTATTTAAATTTAATCTAATGTCCAGAGACCTAAACAATTTGTAGACTAGGCCTATGGTAATCAATGCCAGATGGATTTTAATTAGGCTACCGAGTTTAACACATGGCTCAAATCAAGCTAACTAAAGTACCATTTAGATTTATCTACTTTTGTCATATAGCCATTATAAAAGTCGAGCGGTGATATACTATTCTTTCCACCCAATCGCAAACTTCCACAACTCACGCACAATCCGTCCGCACACTGAATTTTCATTGTTTTGTTCAACTTGTTATAATATATAGTTCCAGGCGGGGAATTTGAAGAATCAATTGAATATTGAGGAGTAGTGAATTGTTCATTTGAATTAAGGAAGTCAATGGCAGATTTACTAGAAGACTCTAAAGAACTGTTTTCTACAGCTCGTTTCTTGGAATCAAGTTTGATATCCAAGAGTCGCACTTGAACTCCATGCCAGTTTGTAGTGAGGGCATAAAGATGAGTTATAGCTCGATGAAGGTCGTATACTTGCTTTGCTGTCAATTTAGTCCAATCAACAACTGAGAGTTTCATTGTTACACGAGGAGCATAAGTGATTCCTTCTTTTGGCTGTGGAGCCGCCATTTCCAGGCATCTAGGCAAGTCTCTAACACACTCCATGAGAAGTTTTGCTCCTTGTACGGACAACCTTTCAGTTAGTTGGGGAGTGGTTTCATCAGGGCCCACGGCACAGCGATACTGCCTAACGATTGATCCAGTGTCAAACTTTTTAGGCTCAATGTTCATGATTGTAACCCCAGTTTCAGGATCAGCGTTCATGACAGCGTATAAGATGGGAGCAGCTCCTCTCCATCTCGGTAATAGACTACCATGCACATTTAAAATACCAAGTGGAATAGCTTTAATTATGTCCTCTGGTATTAGATGTCCAAATGATACAACTACACCAAGATCAAACTTATTTTTTATGACATCACTTTTGAAAGGCCATTCTATGATGGGAAGCTTTTCCGATTCTGCAAATTTTCTTACCACAGATCCTGGACGAGCAACTACTGTCAGATCACTCATTAAGGTCCCAGTTCGAAGTTTTGCACACAAAGGCTGTACACTTTTGACAGCAAAGTCATCAGTTCCAAAAAATATAATTCTCCAGGGTGGGCCAGCAGATGTAGTGTAGTTCAATTTATTAAGATGACACTGTTTTTGAACCTCAGCTCGAGAACATTTAAAAATTGATGCATATTGGTTGAAGAATGTAGCATAACAGAAGGTTTTAAAATACAGCATAGGCCTATTCTGCATTGTGCACAACTAGATTTGCATCAACCTTGAACTATGTTTTACTGACAAAAAAGGTTACATGACAATAAATAACAATAATATTTGAACGAGTTGAAAACGTATGCTTAATCACTATTAGCCTACTAATTTGGCTAATCTCACAAATACAACACAGCCCGACCAAATGAAACCGACTCTGACTACCAACGTCCAACCAACCATGGTCGGACTAGCTTTGGCCGAGGCTTAGGCTAACTAAGTAAAATAATACAGAATTAACACCTTACCTAAGTAAACAGATAGCTTGTAAATTTCAATTTCGCTTGATTTATGTTGGAATACCACACAATGTTTCCCTTCTATAACAATTAAAGAAATAATTAACTTAATACTCTTGAAATCATACTATTTGAGGTTAGTAAACATGAAAACATCAAAATGAAGTTTCTTGCCTGGAACATAGAGGATACGCGTCCGGTAACCGGACGTGGATAAGGCGTACGGCAATGACGTCATGGGGTTGCGGGAGCCTGGAACGCCTTTACCACAACAATACAATGACGAGCCATCGGTGTTCGTGGTGTGGTGGATAAGGTGCTCGGCTGATATGCAAGAGGTCCAGGGTTCGAATCCCATTGATGACTTTAACTTTTTGTCGAAGAGTTTGCATTGAATACCATTTATTCTTAACTGTACATCTTTTATTAGAATTTTTGGCATTTATAATTTTTTTTATAGAGAAAGAATTTCACCTTAATTCGATTTTTTCACTATCAGCAAGTTTGGTTGGTTAGGTTAGGTTATGACAGTAATTGCCGGACGTCTAATCCACGTCCGGTTACCGGACGCGTATCCTCTGCCTTCCTGGAAACATCAGGCACAGCACAGCTGGTTCTGAGCTGGGTAAATAAATACTTCATGTGGCGCTTCATTCAGCCGTCGATCACGTAGGCCTGCTTTAGATGTTGTTATTGTTTATGAACCCGAGAATTGGAATGACAATGAGCAAGCGATTACTAAAATGTTTTGTAATAAAAATTGCAATCAAAGTAATGAAGTTAATCTTTTCCGACCCCCGGTAGCAGTATCCTCCCTCCGGATAACAATAATAAATGCTGTACCAATTAATTAATTGCGATCTTCTTCGTGATGTTCCAGTCCACTGAGCTGAAAACCTGACTGAGGCTGTTTTAGGACTTTGTCCTCATTATCATTAATACTAATACTCATTAATTGAGTTGGGGACGTGACTAAGCGTATGTTTAACCTGAAAATGAACGAAAGATGAGTTAATGATATCTTTGTGTAGCTTTGTTATCGACTATCATAGTCTCTGTATTCAATGTGTCTGTAAAATGATTTATCAAAAACATAATCAGTCATGGATCCTATTTCAACCCATGGAAAAGATATTCTCAAAATCAATTAGTTTGAAGACCAGCATCGAAAGGTTTTCCCATAGGTCCATTGCATCGAAATTGAAGGCCCTAATAAAAGTCGATCTATATGAGGCACCAGCAAAGCCCTTCTCTCCCAAACCACCTACTGACTTATATCAGGTGCCTTTTTTCGCTGCTTTTAGACTGTCCCTGAGAAGAACAGGAATGCTATGCTATATTGCAAAAGCTTCAACGTACTGAGATCAGGCGATTCATAAGCCAGGACCATTTTAAAAGGCTGATAATCAGGAACAGCTGGGCCCAGTTTCAAACCATCAAAAAGTTCCCATTAGTTTGCCCTATATCATATCATCATCATCATCATCATCATCATCATCATCATCATTATTTCTTATTTATCTCATCAAATTTCTCAATAAGCCCCTCCTCCCTGTATTTTTAATAATATAATTCATTTAGAAGTCTTGGAGATTTTCAAAAAAGTAAGGCTAAATAAAATCAAATAAATATTTAAGTTTTTAGGCGTACCGTACCTACCACAATGTGAACACGCAACAACATACAGCTGTCCGTGTGAAAAGCATGCATTGTGCCTTATTATGGTGATTGCGAAAGCAAGGTGCAAAGGAAATTATTGTAGTCGCTTGAATTCCAAGGGCAATTCGGATGAAATCATAGGTATTCTTGAGATTAAGACTCTTCTTTATACTTACCACTGATGATTGTTGCTTCAATCAAGTTTTGTGTCATTTTTTAATTCGTCAGTCTGGTTCCTTTGCATACTCGGTAGCTTCTGTGGATTTAAGTTTCGCATTAGTATTATTGGAGTTCCTTCTTCAAATGTGTAGTGGGTTAATGACAAATTGGGAGGCATTTCAATACCTGAGATAGCACGCACGATTATTATTCACTCAATATTGTATGTTAGATTTTGTGGGTATAGAACAAAATAATATATAAATATTAAGGCATTGCCACCCCTTATTGTTTATAATACTTTGAACAGTGTTTACTTTTAATGTTTTCATATTTAATATTGGAGATTTTAAACGTTGTTAAGTGTACCTAAGGTGTTTGCGATTGGGGTTTAATAAATTTGGACTTATAAGTAAAATAGTTTTCTGTGGTGCATTCTGTGGAAACAGTGTGACACTATTTCAAATCATGACTAATACAGAATGTTGTGATTATTCAAACCTACAAAACTGTTGGTGAAAGTAAACATCTGCTTTTAAATTATATTTATTTGTAAATATTGTAGTTCCAAAAGTCTGACATTGAATAAAAAAGTTAAAACTTAAAACAGTTAATACCATCTGGGGCGGAGCCCTTTTGACGGATCAGCACCAAACTTCACACAAACTACCGGTGAATAATGCTTATAATACCTGAAAGTTTCATTACAATCTGTTGAGCGCTTTCGGAGTCCATAGGGTACATACTCCCTCTTTTTATAGATATAGATCATGTTTTTTCCTTCCACCATGGATATAGATATATAGATTCAAACAACTTTATATGAAAATATTGAAAATATAAAACAAATGAGGAGAACAAAAATATGGTTTTGAAAATGGACGAGCTCTTGAACAATCCATCAAAGCTCTTGCCTGTCAAAAGCGTCAAATAACGCAACTCATCTCGGAGCTCTAAATAATGACTTTCCTTAAAATAGGCCTAAGTAAATGTTGAAGTTTATATTGTCTGATTTAATAACATTGATTTTTTTATAAACTTTTAACTATCGTTATTTGTTTTTTGCTTATGATGGTCTATGCTTGCTCTATATTTTTGAGGATTTTGTCTTTTAAAATTCTTTATTTAAACAATTTTTCTCTTAGCTTAAAGTAGTAACAACATTGACTTTGGATAGCTAGCGCAGCAGAGATGATACTCGTATGTACTAAAATTAGTTGAACGAACATAGCATCTACTGTCCTACTATTATTTTTTTGTGTTTTGTGTGTTGTGAGCGTTGATGGTACTATGAACATCGACCACAGTTAACCGTCATAAAAGTTCTAAACATTGGTTGTATGTACTTCCATTTTGATACGATAGAAAATTACATTATCACACCCTTTTCTTAGTTCCATTGAACCAATTTATTTTCATTCGTAAGCTTTTGCAACCGGCATCATTAGATTTTTGGTCAACCACTTTTGTCAGTTGGAAATCTCCCAGTAAGCCTAATCTCATGGTGAGGACTGAGAAAGCCTCTTCAAATTTAAGGGGGAAACGTCTGCCAGTAAAATGTAAAATGGTTTATTGTACAAAAGGGCAAACCTGAAAAGCTTAACCTTATTTTACCCCATTTTTACAACTAAAAATCGTAATATTTAAATTATTTCTTATTCAATCTTTTAGCGAAATTCTCCTATAGGGAATAAGCTCATGGCCTGGACTCGGGAACGATCAACTTTTTCGTTTTGAGGTCTCTAGAGACAAAAAAAATCAATTGGTTCAGATTCAAAAAAGGTATATATATATATATATATATAGGCGCGTTATTATGCGCCTACTGGTTACGGAGAAAATTCAAAAAATCTGTAAATTTTAAATTCCTATGTTTCTTTATGGAGAATAAGTTAACTTTTGTAGTTTGCTTGTTTATGAACATATTTTGATTAAATTTAGAAAACGCATTCATTTCATACTAAACTATTACATTTTACAAAAAAACACCTTTTTACCCTCCCTGTTGCAGCAAACCTAAGTACTCATGAAACTAATGTATTTAAATAGGGAAAAAATATGATACTTTTAAGGAGACATTTTAGTTTAAATCATGGAAATTCGCTTAGTCTTGCAGGTTTGCTGCGGCAGGGGTATTTTAACTTGGTATCGTTGGATAGAAAATTAAAAATTCTAAATAAATTAGTTCATGAAATTTTTTTTAAAATGAAGCCTTTTTAAACAATTGAAGTTTAAAGATATAAATTGGTCGTCAGTTTGAAAATAAACGCCGGAAAAATATTTTTTTTTTGATTTGGAAATTTATCCTGTAAAGCTCCATACCAAATTTTATTTTGATATATTAATCCATTACGGAAATAGAAATGTTAATGTGAAAAAACAAAATGGCGTATAGCGGCTAAACGAAGTTGAAATCGAAAAAAAAACTTAACTGAACATTTTCGATTAATTTTCGTATGTAGAATATGGTTATGCATATCCAGTTCCGAATTTGTCTGACACACTGTATATTTAGTGCTGTATATCGAACTGTGGTTGTTCACTTACAAGTTATCTAAGATACAAATAATAAATAAAATAATCCCCATGTTAATATTGCAGGTAATAGTTTTACTGTTGTTGTTTGTTTGGAAGGCTATACTGTATTTTGATAAAACTCGTAAAATGTATTTGTTTCATACTAAGGTACTAACATTTATTTTTGTTACCTTCCCTGTAGTAGCATACCTAAGTACTTATTACAACTAATGTTACTTAAATAAGGAATAAATCTGACATGTGTAGGGATATACTTAAGTGAAAATCCAATCAGAAAAATTGAATTTCGCTATGTTTGCAGGTTTGCTGCTGCGGGGGTATTTATCATAGCTTTGAGTCATACTATGCTTAACGGGTCTATTAATAAAATTTGCGACACTTTATTTATTGCTAATGTTACGTATTTAGTTCGAAATAATATTCTTATAGAAATTTATGTAATTCCAAATCAAATTAAATCGGCTAGAAAACAAAACAAAAGATAGTCTAATAATATTACTGAAAGAAACTTTCAACTGTATCAATTTAATTCAAACTAACGTAAATATTTTCCATGAACAAATCATCAGCATCGTCTTTAAGGTTAGATGAACCATAAATAGTTCATTTTATTTCGTGACCACGTTAGTCCGTTTAGTTACTGAAAGTGCTAGCAAAATTAGGCAAAAACATCGTATAAATGTGATTTTGCGTCTGTGATCTTAAAATTAAAATAATAAAGCTATAATTGAAAATCCTAAACTCTTTCTGTGCTAGCTTTAAAATATTTTGGATGGCAAACTTTATTGTT